ACCCACCCCCAAACCCTGCCCCCACTCCACAAACCAACAAACACCAAAAAGAGAAAATTAAGTAATTAGAGTTCACTTTTAGCTTGACTTGGGCATAGGCATATCTGAAATTCTCTCAGTTGTAAAAATGTTCTTTTAGCTTTCTGAGAAATAAGTTAATGTTAAAGAGAGCAGCATCACGTACTTCAAGTGGAAGAGTTTCCCATACAATGGGAAAATAATTGAAAGCAGAGAATTTAAATGCATTGGTTCGGGAAAAGGCATGCCTAAAACGCAAATCATCAGAGTGTCTTGTGTTGATCTTAACAAATTCCAAACAGTTTAAATCATACACATGATAAAGGCATTTACAAACAAAAGCTACAAGAATGAAATCGTATCTAGCCTTCATAGAGATCAAGTTAAATTTAACTAATCTCTCCTCATATCTTAACACAGATCTGAGTTCATTTGGGATGCTCATACGAGTTGCTTTTCTCTGAACCTTTTCAATAGATTTCAAATGTCCAGATTGAAATGATTACCAACTCGGTACTCCATACTCTAAAATTGGTCTCACGAGGGAATTATATAATTTGATAAAGGCTTCGGAGTGATTGTATTTCAAAGTTCGCTTAATAAAGCCAAGAAGTTTCAGACCCTTGGAAGTGACATCATTAACGTGAGCACCCCATGATAAATTAGATGCAATGTTAACACCAAGGTAGGCCTACTTGTGAGTAGAAGTGAGCTGAAGGCAAGCCTCATTGATGTGATAACTTTTTGGAGATTGTGCTCGACTACTTGATCGAGTGATTCGAGTGACATTGCGAAGTACCCAAAATTAATAAAATAAAAACTTACACCATAAAACGAATTGGACGCATAGACTAATAATTGACGGCTGTACTCGCAACTAGTACCGGATTGTCGATGCCACATAAAGATCAAAGGACTGTACGCACGCGCTATGTTCGAGAGCGGAGATGTGCGTCCTTCTGTTGAATTACCTTGCTTTGATAACCTCCAATGATAATACTAGGCCCCTGTCATTGTTCATAGTCTCTTGACGTGCAGACAACCAAGTTCACTATACGCATCAGTTCAATTCAATCTTTTATTCCAGACAAAAGTCCATATCATAAACATCGGCCTAATTAAAAAAAAAGAATAAGTAGGAAACGAACCCGCACTAATCTAGAAATAAAACTTGGGTTTTGTTTTTGTTTCTTTGGTGTGTGTGACACACTAAAACTAAAAATAACTCCCTAAAGTCCGAAGAATTTTTTTCTTGTGTCCTTTTGTTGGTGTGGCAAGGACAGAAGAGTCACGGGATGGACTGGAACATCAACACTCCGGATATTCTTTTTAAAATTGACTGTAAACGCCGGACGTCATAGTCGAACAACAAAACATGAGCTAATAATGAATTCAATTTCGCAGTGATGATGAGTGAGCTGGAGCATTTATACTGTAAAACGTCGTGAAATCTAGTATAGAGGCCCTGGGCTTTTAGAGATGGGATTCTTTTCGAGGCTAATTTTGGAAAGTAAGAATGTGGGCCGGTTTCTTCTTCTTAAGATGAATGCTGTACATCTTGGGAATTACTACTATAAATAGGGCCACTGTAACATCAATCTGTGTCATTACATGGTGTGTGTAACCGGCATTAAATCACCTAAACTAATATATATAAAGTATAAACCAAGCATGTTGTTATTTTAATTTTATTAAATTTTTTTTTGTTTCCTTGAAATTGATGTACAGAGTATATGATACTATCTCGGGGAAAAAAAGCCAATCTATCTTGAAAAGAAACCTATATTGGTTGGTTGGTTGGATTATTCGGTGTAAATACCAAGGATAGACCAGGAAATTCTAGAAAAAGACTTATTTCCAGTGGGGTCCTTCTGGTGGTGATTGGGCAGTACACCGGGAGACAATCCCCAACTCCTGTCCGAAGAGTGTAGGCCTACTGCGTTCTTTAACGTGCACATGGGCCATAAATGCACGCGTCATACGGGACCAACGGCTTATGTCTCATCCGAAAGACGGTAGGGCCTACGCTATTATAACTTGTATTTCAACCCTCCAACTGAAACACAAGGAGAAGCAGCGATGGGAATTGAACCGGGGACCAAGAGATCTCCACGGTTCAGCGCACACACAGTGGCTACCACCAGATTAGCCAACTGTAAGCTGCTATCCAGGCTTCTTTTAGGCTACTTTCGCAAATTGAAAAGGGCGGCTTCAATTCGGGTTTGGGTTCTCCTCGAGATTAAGCCCATTGAGCTTCTATTCAAGGTTTTACTGTTGCGCTCTCTTTATTTAAATGGAGGGGATGGTTTGGTTTGGTTCATTTGGTCGTTTCGCTCAAAAGGGGGTCCGACTGAACCATAGAAACCCCATGAATAAGGTCCTGTATTTATGTTTAAACTGATGAAAATATGAGCTAGATGATTCAGCCTATTAAGTTTCTATTTTCAGCTAGGAGAGGACACACGAATCATTTATGTGGTTAACCATACCGATTATAAATACAGAAGTTTTATATAGCAACGTGTTACCTATAAATTCACAGATTCTTTACGATAACACAGCCAGAGTGCCAGACCCAGAAAATGATTCGGAAAGACTGACTGCGCCATCAGGGACACTCGAGCGTTCAACTGAAATGCTGAGTATGTACACTGCCCTGGCAAGCGAGGCTTACCTGTCTGTCAGCAGCATCAACCCCATCGAATTTGCGTTTGTGCTAACGCTAAAACTGCGAGACTTGAGTAATTGCGTTGAGGAGTTTAAAAACGACTTCTCCCGGCTTGCTGCACAGGTTGATGAATATGCAGGCAAATTACTGGGGAAGGCGCGCAGTACTGAAGAGGTAATTACAAATGATTTCAATAGGTGTAACCGAAAGCAT